GTCATTGAAGGGGTAAGAAAATGCCATATCTTTCTAGGGGTGAAAGCAGCCTATTTTGCATAGGTTCTCGAGGGAGTTATTAGCTGGGAACTCATAATAAGGCTAGCTGAAAATGAATATAGGAAGGTTTTAATATTACATTTGAATACCTAGCACCTTTATCTATCTTTTAATGATCAGGAATTTATATTTCTAGCAGACTTTTGTTTAAATCAATGTATATATATATGAAATACAAGTCTTAATTCTACTTTATGTGCAAAATAACATCTTTAGTAGCATAGAAAACTCAAACAAATACTGGTACACATAAAAAAGCTTTTAATAATTCATTATCCTTTGCATAACGATCAAATTAAGCACCGAAAATGCTCCTCATAACTCAAATCAAACACGATTTAAATAAGTTGTGACACCTCATTTCCCGCACCGCACCTAATCCGATAAATACAAGTCCTTTTGTCGCGCAATAAACCCATTTCCACTTCATTTAAAATCAATTATAGGGTAACCGAACCCTCGCCTCCTCCCTAAACAATCAATGGCCCGGGGCGATGGTTCCTAGTTTCGCTTTTGGTTCTCGCCTCATTATTTCCGCGTGCAAAATTAATTGAATCAAAGCGATGACAAAAGCCAACTGGTCAGTTAAATCGCTCGAAACTGCAGCCGCCGCATAATTACCGCCAAATCTAAAATGCGTTTCCACTATCCCAGCAGCTGGATCCAAAAACCAAATTGAAATTATATTATTCGTGGTCAAACAATTGTGCAGAAAAAAAAGGAAAACCAACACAACTGCACTGCTCTTTTACACAAATGTGTATTTTTAATTGATTTTCAATGGGTTTTTCGGCACAGGCAGCTAATGAAATCTAGCCACGGACAGACTGACCGAATATAAATGTTATTCCATTTAATTTGCATTAGAATAGATCAATGGGCAGTAAGTGTTACGTCATCAGCATACAAAAATCAAATGATAGAAATTTCCTGGCCCAAAAAAATCTATATGAAATAAGACCAACAAACGAAAATATGTGTGCAAGTTTTATTTATTTATATCATATCCCTATATTTGTTTATGTAAATGCGTATATATATATATACGGCTGACCAACGCCAAAGAACATAAATTATGCGGTAAGCCTGCGGAAACTGACAAATTTTTGGCGTTGCACTGGATTAGGGCGACTTAAGCGAGAATGATTTGTGGAATTAGAGCGGGTGCCAAAGCCTTTTTAATGAACTCACTCACTTCCTCTGCGGGTTTTAAAGTCCTCCCTCTTTTTATTCAGTAAATACTATATCCCTTCTGACCATACACTTGATAAATTATCTACATGACAGACGTTTTATAAAATATATAGGCCATCAGTTGGTTAATTTTTTGTTTATATATTTGTAGAGCTTTAAAATGTAACAGTTTTAAATTAATTAAATATATATAATAAAACATTAATACAGTTGAAATTATAAATGAAAAAATGAAAGATAAAAGTTACAAGTTGTTTATGATAAACAAATTAAACTCATATAATAGGTAGTATATAAATAGTATGATAATTGTCTTGAGCTTTAAATTCCTCTTCCAAGAAATACAATAATAGTATTTTATAGTTAAGCAAGCTATAAATCTGGTTATCCATTCTAAAAGCTTGCCAAACTGCAGATGTAGCATGCAAATGTGCGATTTGAGTGACAGTGACAGATATTTCCAGTATTTTGACTTTTTGATGACATTCTACGGAAAGGAACAAACGAATGACTATATTCAGCAACACACACGTGGCAGCATATTTGCTTGCCTTTTTTTTAGTGGATTTATTTATAACAAAAAATAGACAACAAAACAGACAACAAATAGCTAAAAAATAGTACAAAAATAGTCAAAAAATTGGAAGCAAATGCATAGTTTTTATGCAAATACGCCCACCCATTCTGCATCGACATTCGCCGGTTGGCAGAAAAGTTGGTTGCATTTTGGTTGCTTTGTGTACGGCTTTCAATAAAGGCAACAACGAACAGGTAAAGCTGGGTAAATATTAGGGCGATTCAGGGGGAGGCGGTGTACACGGTGGTACAGGTGTGGGACGTGTACAGGGTATACGGATCCTGTTTGTCTGCACGTCTGCGTGTCTGTTTGGCAAATGCCAACTTTATTAGGAATTTTTGCCGTTTGCTGGTGGCTCGTGAGGCGGTCCATCGCTATTCGGGGCCCACAGTCGCTGCCATTCCACCCCCTCCCCACATACACATCCCACTTTTCCCACTGTCTCTTTTGGTTCATGTATTTGGGATTTTTCCTTTTACTGAATGGATTATATTCGTATTTTGCCGACAATCAAACACAAATGTCTTGTCTGCTCAGGTGGGAAAAATGAGAGGGAAATTAGAAACTAGCAGAGGGAAAAGCCTGAGAGAGAGAGAGAGGAAGAGAGCGGAAAATGAGCGGGAGAAAATTCATGCGCTGTGCAGACAGAAAATTGAGAATATTTCCCAGTATTTTCGGAAAAGCCTCAGCAACCAGAATATAGATTGAAAATATTTATTTATGCTAGAATTTTATTTGAAAATATTCTTAATAAGGTAAATATATTTATAATGGTTTTATTTTAATATTTAAATATTTTAAGAAATACTTGTAAAGTTCTTTTCTAAAGTATATATTTTTTATAACCATTCCAATTCTTTTATTTATTTTGTAATTTCCAAAAGTTACTGATTTCTTTTCAGGATTTTTTTTTAGTTTCAAAATTTATTCAAGTTATTTTCATTTCTACTTATAACCCTTGTTTACTTATCTAACCATTATAAGAAATTGAAAATTGTAGCAATTTTCCTTCAGCGAATTCCATTACACCAAACGGACATTAGCACCTCATTTGAATAAATTTCAGGCTCTGTGCTGTGTATTTGTATATGACGCACTTAACTAATGGCTGGCATTTAAAGACCCATAAAAAGACCCAAAGGGCAGCTAGCCAACCTGGCATTGACCACGTCTAAGACAAATGGCGGAGTGTCCGCTTATAATTGACCACAAGCGGTTAGAGACAAGGCGAAATGGTTGGGGAAGCACATTATCGTTGTGGTCGTTCAAGTAGAATGGACAATTATTATTAACTGCAATAAATTTCACGCACGCACAATTTACATACACTGTGGGAAAACAGTAGGTCTAAAAATCTTTAAATATAAAATATTATTTCCAAAATTAATGTATTAAAATAAACTATTAAAAATATCTTTTAAAATAGGTGTACCAAGTTATATTAACAATATATTTTACGGCCTTTACTTACATAATTATGTATATTTCCCAAATGCTTTGTAAATTTTTTTAAGCAAAAGAATGTGTTTTTTTGAAGTCCAATAAGGTGCTTGTTAATATCCTGTTTTAACATCGTTTATTTATCATTTCCAAGCATTTTATTTGACAAAAACTACAAGACTTTCTTAAAAACCTTTTATAATTTCCAAGTGCTTATTTTCTACGTAAGATCACCTTTAATTTTTAAAGTTAAAAATGTAATTTATAATTATTTTTGCTAGTGCTGTGAAGTACCCAAGCGTATCGCAGGACACGATCTATACAGGACACAGGACACGAACATTTGGCCAGGACACGTACAACTCATTTAAGTGCAACATAATTGTGTGTGTCCAAGTTTCGAGGAAGCTCCCACCTGAAGATGCGAGTTGTTTCGGTATGGGTTGATGGCTTCCGGGGGTAATTGCCGCCGGGGGCACATGTCAATGGCAATGACAATTATCGGGGATGGGTTCGATGGAAGTTCTGAAAGAAGTATGTACGACAGACCGCTGACCGGTGGACAACCTCCCACTCAATAAATCGATAGTTCACTTGCCATTAGCGTGTTGTTTAATTGAATTGTAGCAATTAAAGTGCTTCAATTGGTTTTAATCGGAAATTGTTCCCATTGTTCGAGCACAATAGTAATAGCTTCTGCTGAGCCGTCACAACCACACACGCCATAGAATCAGATGGATATATGTGTATATAAAGTGTAGTGTAGAGGACATACGCACACATAAGCCCGCCTCATTAACGCTGACATTCAGAAACGACAGAAGGAAATGTGCAATAAATGCGACTAAGCCTGCGGCAATCATCGGCAACGAGCGGTAATCACAGGGGGTTAATCGCAGTCGGGGGTTAAGCCAACAATGTGACTAACACTCGTCTGGGGAAATGTCAAGTGTTTGTGAGAGTCAAATTCTGCTGCTTTTATTTGTATAGTATAGGTGAAATTTTACCTGAGGATTAAATATTTAAAGCGTTGTCATGTCAAGAAATATGTGAGATTTTCTAAATATTCTATTGATGGTTTAATGATAGTTTAAAATAAAAAGTAAATAAAGTAAAGAGGGAAGTTTACTACCCAGTTTAAGAATTAGAACTTGAGAACATTTTAGCTAGAAAAACATTAAAATATTAAGAACTCAAGTTAATACAATCTAAATAATAAATTATATCTAATACATAAAATATTATAGATAATTTATAAATAATTATATAAAATTGAACTAAAAATGCTTAAATTAAATAAATATATTATTTCATTTATTATATTATTATATATTTCTAAATCGTATTCCAAATAAAGCACTAAACCAGTATTTTCGGTTTCCAATTAACGTTTTAATTTAACAGCAGATGTTAAACCTATAACATTAATATGTTAACCATAGCCATTAACAGCACTCTTAGAAAAACAACAACTATGCCAAAGGCAACCATCGCCAGCAGCAGGCTCAACAGGCTGTTCCGTTATTCTGGTTCTACCACAACAACAGTTGGATCAGAATTTCCCCAACATGGCCTCTCTCTGTCCTTTACTTTCTCTCTCTCCCACTGCAGTGGTACAATTTCTCTCGCTCTCGTTTTACGTATGTATGTGTGTCTGCAAAGCACACACACACCGTTGCTCTGTTTTCATTTGCCTGCCGCAACATTTGGCTCTCAGTCAGCAACGAACTCTCCACGCGGGCGGATTGCTAACGGTACTTTTGGATACTTGGATGCAAGCACATCTGGTCGTTCCGCTCGCGCACACATATCGAATCTGTTGGCCGAGGAGCAGCTTGCCGCGCGCCAAAAGTCCAAAAAGTGAAGAAAACGCCAACGAGCGTGAAAAGTTGAAGAAAAACCAAAAATAAATATGTGAGTGCCGTGCGTAAGTGCGTGCGTGTGTGTGCATTTATTTTTAAGCGTCGACTCGGCCGCCGGCCCCCGAAGGCGAATGTGAAGTGTAAGCGACAAGAGCGACCGAAAACCGAGAAAAAAAATAAAATAAATTATATCAAAACAAAAATAGCCCCCAAACGCCGGCAAAGGATAGAGCGTGACGGAAACGGAGACGAAGACGGGAGCGCGAGAGTGGGGCACAGGGTGCGGAACGAGAGAATTAGCACATTTGGCGAAATGAGAGCGACACCAAAAACGGAGTCTCCACTCCTCCTGCTTGCCTTGCTCCTCCTGGGAGTGGGTCTCCTTGCAACCGGAACGGATGCCGTTAGTTCTTATGGCGCCTCCTTCATCTCCAATCCGGCCATATACGCCTACAGTGTGGAGAATCAACAGGAACAGGAACGGGAACGGGAGCAAGAGCAGGAGCAGAACGACATCAAGTTCGCCGCTACAAATGCAAATGCGAATGGCAATTCCAATTCCAATCTGAATCGTAATTACTACTACACGTCCGATCCCAATCAGAGTCCGAATGTCAATTCGAATGTCAATCCCACGCCAGCGCTGGCCACGCCCCCCGCCACACAGCCCGCCCCCCAAACGGGCTGCACCCTGGATCGGCTGGCCGTCTACAAGGTCGTCTTGCACACCTACTGGACCCGCGAACTTTTCCCCAAGCACTATCCCGACTGGCGACCCACCGCCCAATGGACCAAGACACTAGGTGAGTTTGGTTTTCATATATTTTTGGGAGTTTATTTGGTTTGAAATAAAAGGGTGAATGGTTTTTGGGAATTTATCTAAATGAGTTGAGTTGATAGATAGGCTTAGTCAAGGAAGGCTTTAAATCGAAAAATTGATATATTATAAGCCTCTGAAATTATCTTATCTGTCTATAAAGTCTTTGAATTTATATAGTAAGAAAACCATGGTATCTTTGTGACATTTTACATAGTTTTTATTTTTTTAAAGTCCTAAAAACTGTCCCATGCTCAAAGGGAAGGTGTACTTGCCACAGCTACAATATATTTAGAATTCTGAACAATTTTACAAGCTCAACAAAAATGTTAGAATATTAATCATAGATTTAAGCAATTTAATAAAAATAAAAAAAGAGAAATATGCAAATTTTAGGTGTGTAAACAAGCCTAGATAGTATTTATTTCACACCTAAAAATATATATTGTTTCTGTAACAAGTTCTCTTTACAAAACCCTATATTTAGGTCAGCTTACAATATTTAATTAGAGCTCAAACAAAACACAATCGATGAAAAACCCTTTAAAAAAATCGGAATACATAATAAATTGCTTAAATTAATTTGTAATTAAGCTGTAAAAATCGTGTCACACAAGCACAAAACAAAATAGAAATGCTTGAATAATTTATGGCAATGTTTCCAATATTCTTTTTCCTCATTAAGTGAACTCCCCCGTTGCAGAAATTTGGCAAATATTTTCGCTATTTTATATATTTCAAAATTACCCGGCAAACAGCAAAACCAAACCAATTTGGCCCAGTTTCCAGGCCAAGCACACACAATTTGGGCAACTGCATATCTCTGTCGCCATCGCTCTTGGCAAACATTGTGTCCCTCACTCGGGTTATTACTCAATCAGAGTGATGACGATAAGGATCTCATAATTTTGTGCCAGCGCAGCAAACAACAACAGCAAATGCCTAAATACTAATTTGTCACAATGCCTTTTCGGTCTGTCTGCTTCTGGCCTGAACAATTTGTCCAACATGCATATACTATATACAAATATACTACATACGCATAGAAAATAAATCGAAAAGCAATTTCGCAGCAAGTTGGCTAAACATTTACGGTTCGTTTTGGTATTTCGGGTTAAATCTGAGGCGGCGTCTGGGGGATAGGGAAATGCCTTTGGCCGCATTGGCATGTCGCTTGTCTTATCAATGTTTTTGCAGATTTAGCTGTCGATTTATAGCTCACACACATCCAGCATCCAGCATACGGTATACAGCACCCAGGATATTCAGGCGGCGACCCAGTGAGACAGTGAGACAAGTAAATCTGACAGCTAAACAACCAAAGCCTGGCCCACATGCAGGGGCAAATAAAAAAGGATAAGCGGGGAGCAGGAAGGCGGCAGGCAGGAAGGAGCCTAAGAAATGCGATTTGTACGTGCTTATGCGCGATGTGCTGGTCTCAGCGCAAAACAAGAAATTGGATAAAGTTGTTCAATACACTTATACATGTATATATAGGTATATAAATAAACCAGAGGCTCAGGCAGCGGAACAATCCCCTCTTCCGACTTTTGATGCTTTGATTTTCAAGTTTAACTGGGGGAATAAAGCATCTCTCGTATGACTAATTAAGGCGGCATTATGGCTTATCCATCTCGGTTATAAACTCCTTCCTGCCAGACTTTCTAGCCACTTTTTCTTTGTTGTTTATAGTGTCGTCTGGCTTATTTATAGTTTCCCCTTTTGCGTCAGGCAGTGGGCCACAGTGCGTATGCGTGATTTATGTGAGCCAAGCACTTGTGTTTATACTTGCATAAAATATAGCAAAAGGAGTAGTACTCGCACTTTACCGTACCTAGACACGGTCTACTAGATGGGGCTTTTTGTAGCTCATCCACTTAAAATGCAGTTGAGAAAGTTTATTTTGCGGAAAATAATAATAAAAGGAGGTAAATGTTGCTAGTAAATGTTTAAACTTTAAAGCAAGCCAGTTTACAAGAGATAAAAGTGTAGAGAGTTATTTTCAGCTTAGGATAAATGTTTACATTTTTGTATTTTTAAGACGAGATTGCTTTTAAAGTTTAATTCAGAAGAAACTATAACTATAACTTAAGGAATTCCGTTGTTCCTTTAAGGAACTAATAATCATATTAACTTAGTTTTCAAATTTATTTGTTTTCATAAAAAAGCTATATCTTAATCGTTTCTTTTGCGAAACGTACAAGCTATTTAAATATAAAAGGCAATTTGGATATATATCCCAAGTTATATGTGAAACAACGCCGCCGGACGCAATATCCTTTGCAGTATTCCTGCTACTCTTGTCACTTGCCGCCTCTCAGCTTGTTTCCCCTGATAGCCGTTTAGTCCTGGCCAGCGGCAGATCCGAGGCTAGTCTCGTATTGCCCTGGTCCGAGACCAAGTCCTGGCTCAATCCGGAATGCCATTTGGCATTAAAATTCAAGCAGTAAGAAGGGCAAAAAAATAAAGGCAAGCAAGAAAAAGCTTAGCAATGCACTTCGACTTGATGGTGGGAGGACCAGGGAAAATCGGAGAAAATCTGGGGGGAGTTCAGCAGGAGTTGGGGAGTGCGGCGGGGCCAGAGGGCAACGGCTTCCTGCCTGTCATATCCTGTTTATATATAATTTTCAGTGCGCAGCTCTAACATCCGTTACATTTCAACTGGTTGGAGGCGGCGTCAGAAAAAAACGTGAAAAACTATGAGCAGTGGAGAAACTACCAGGAAAAAAGCATATATATATATCCCAGCGCTCCTTTTGTTTTTGCTGTCGAAGGAGGTTCACAGCGCAAAATTTATTATGAATGTTCAAAAACAAGCAGCGACAGCAATTGCAGCGGGGGAAATGCATTTCTCGTCTTTTGTGCCAAGTCGCCCCCGATGTCCTGCCTTATCCTTCTCCTCCTTCGGTTCCGGGTTCCCAGTGCCCGGCTCCATTTTCCATTCTCGGCTCCCAATTCCCCATCTCATTGCATTTCCCCATTCGAGTTCACTCCTCGTCGAGTTGTTAAATTTCATTTGCCGCTGCCCTGGCGACTGTTGTCGCTGTTTTTATCGCAAATTGAAACCGAAATAAAGTTTGCCTCCTGCTGCATATTTGTTTTAGTTCTGGCCGTTTTTTTTTTTTTTTATGTTCGTTTCTCGTTGTTTTGTTTCCAGTGCCGCGCCGTTCTTTGTGCCCTGTCACAGTTTTTGCTTGGCCCGAACCGAACTGAACTGAAACGCAACATACTAGCCAAAAGAAGCATTTTCGCCGGCCGTATTGTATTTTTTGTTCCTGCTCTAGTTTCGTTACGTTTCGGTTCGTCTACGTTTTTGCCATTTTTATTGCTTGTCGAGGTTTTTGTTGAGTCAATTCTCGAGCGTTTTGCAAGCCAAAATGAAATGTTGCACTCTGGCATGTTGCATTTCAAATGGCAGCCCAAGAGGGAGGCCTTGGCTACACTTGAATCTGTTTTAGAGTTTAATTTTAAGAGGTATTCTTGGGGCCTAAAAGATGTCTAAGAAATTGGGATTTCAAATATTTTTGAAGCAGTGTTAATTAATTATTACTTCGGTACAGGATTTCATTGAGCTGAGCTTCAATTGTATCAATATAAATACATAATCTATATTCTTATTTAATGTACGTTTTAGAGACTTTACTTCTTCTGCAGCCTTTATTTCAGTGCATGCATTTAGGGCTTATCGTTCAGAGTTCACTTGTTTAGGTTGATGGCTTTTACTGGTTAGATTGCCAAAATTAATTGCCATACAAATAAACAGGAAAGTTGATTGAATTCGGGGGGTGTGTGTGTGTGGGAGGAAGAAGGACTTACCATTATAGTAGCAGGTAGCTGGGCAAGTTAATCCTCACCTCCCCCCATTATATTGATCCGTGTGTCAATGCCACTTTATGACCCAACCCCCACCGACTTACCACCGACAGCCACTTTGTCACCCCCTCCCAAGTGAACGGTTTGCAATTTGTGTTGCATAAGTTTGCGGCCCATTGTCCATTTTGTCCTGGCTTATCCTTGTGGCGCACGGCTCGTTAATTGCCACGTCCATTGGGGCAATTATCCCGGTGGCTGCTGCTGCTGCTGCCCATTTGCTTTTGACTCCGGCGGGAAGACGTGCGTGGCTTTGTAGTTGGTGTTAAATACTTTGGCCTCTGGCAATTTCACGCCTCGCATTTTATTGTTTTGCTCTGCCCAATGAAAAAACACCAACTAATTTTTGACTCTCTGCTCGTCCGTCTGCTCTTTCTAAATAAATTATAAAGAAGCCGCGCATTAATGTATGCTTCATACGCTGTACATGATCCCAGTTCTCCGTGTCTGGCGCATATTTTATGCATCCCCACAGACCGACAAACAAACATCGAAACAAACGCCCTTGTGTCTGCACCTTTTAGCTCGCAATTTGATTTTCCTTATTTTATTTTCAACTTGTGTGTGTGTTCCGCGCACTCATAACAAACTTTAAATGTTTGTAATTTTTTACAGACACTCATGGGGGAGCGGAAAGCATAAGGCGCATGTTCAGCCAGAAAATATTGGATAATAAAAATGGCAACTACAAGCGGAGGATTATGTCCCAAGGGGGAATACCACAAGGGGGGGCTTTATGTCTCTTAAGCTAATGGAAAAACCATGTAATAGATAGAGTTTTCTTTGATAAGAGCTAATCATTTGATAAGGATCTATAAGAAGAAAAGTTTGGAGTATGTGAAAGAACTTATAGAAATCCCGAAATATTAGGAATACATTTTATACAATATAATCAAAACTTATAATTTCCCTTATATCTGAAAATATGTTGTTTAAATTTTTATTCAAGTAACTGACACCTGAAATCCATTAAGTAAATTAATAGTTTCCCGCCACCAAACCTAATAAACACAGCTTCTGTTCCATTAAACCCTAATTGAAAATGTAAAACTCGGCTTGTTTTAGAGTCACAAATTGGCTCTTAGTAACTGATACCATAAACTCCATTAGTTAAAT